CCCAGAAGAAGGTGCACAGCTTGGGGAGAGAGTCCCTTTGAGCGGTAGCAGAGCAAGGGTTCGTCCCCCGCGCGTCTGTCCGATGCGCCACTCCGGGTGTGCCGGGTGCCCGCTGGCAGTCCTCGGCAGGTGACTCGAGGAGAGCTTCCGTTCAAAGGAAAATACCTTTCCGTTGGGCTCCTCTGTCATGTGCTGCACCCTCACGGCACTTGGCAGAGCGCATCTTGCTTTTTAGACAATCCAATGGACTGCAAAGATAAGAAAAACAGCTCCTTGAGGAGGAATAACCATCAGTGTCAGCACTGTGGCTCTGGGCTATCCTGGGGCACCCAGCGTGTGGCTCCATTGAGCTGGTTTTCTTGCCTCTTTGAAAAGAAGGGATGAAAGGAGGGGTAAAATAGCGGCAGAACTAGGGATATCCACTGTCCCGGTACCTGTCTGTCGGAAGCGCTGAGGCTTGGCCACTTTTCCACGCCTAAGCACTGAGGTTTAGCAATGGGAAAGAAACCTTTTTGTACAGCTGGGGCTTGTACCCGTCCCAGCAGGGCTCCACGCCGGAGGAGGGGTGTGGGGTGGGCTCTCTCAGTTCCCAGAAGACCGGGTAGTGTTCTGTTGCATGTGAATTGGTGATGTAATCGATTCTAATATTGTATGTAGCAGTGTTTTGTATAAGACTTTGGTGCCATCTTGCATTTCATCTGTTTTCTTTATTTTATGCCGATTGAACGTGTATCGTATGCGATCCATTGCTGCTGCGTTGTATGAGATCGTGTATTATAATAGCATTTGTATCTGTGAATCGCGTGGGAATCCGTACATTCGATTCGTTGCGGTCGGTTCGGCCGTTACCGGGTGGCGTATTTGACTTCGCGTTCTCGCATTAGCTTTTTCTCCGTGTCGTATGGGAGCCGTTCGCATTCCATTCTATTTGCTATGTTGTGGCAGTATTTTCTTTTTATTTTGTAGTGTTTTATAATTGCTATTTCTACACTGTCTCTGTGTTACTGATTGTTTTCAATCATGTAGAGTATGAGAGTATATATTTGTGTATTGCATGTGAAGCGTTCTATTTGACCAGTTGTATTTGGAAGGTCTGGGGCTCGTCGTACTTTAGGCATAGTTGCGTCACAGCGCTATACCTCACGTGGACGCTACGCTTCGCCTTCTACTCGTTTACGGCGGATCGTACGAGACTCGGCGCCACGTCGGCCACGTCGTCGTCGCATCTCGCGTCGCTGCGCATCGTACGGGAGTCACCGGCGTCGCGTCGTAATCGTGTCGGTGCCGTAACGGGCTCGATAATCGTATTTTAGTCTGTATCCCTTAAGACCGCGTTAATGCATTGTATTCTACGTGTTATCATTGCATCTCATTTGACCGTTTAGCTCACCCCACGTACTCGTGGCGTCGCAAGTCCGAGGATGTCGTATCGGACCTGTCACGGTATCGTAAGGTTTTACCGTGTTTGTTGTTACGCCCGCTACATGCCAACGGTTTTTGACCACATAATGTATTGGAATCTGTTTTTGTATTAGATGTGATTTGGTATTGTAATAGATGCGTTGCGGTGCACGCAATCGGTCGTCGCTTTAGAATAGTTATCGTGTTCCATGCGAGTCGGTGTTGTAGTAAGCATCCTTGCGGCCTCTGCACGGACTAGGTATGTTAACATAACTAGCGTTGCTGTTCAGCGGCGGTATGAGCATGGGATACCGCGTCGTACTAAACTCTCGTCGAGATAGGGTATCGTAGGTGACGCGTCGGAGCGGCTT